CGGTCCTCGGAGGACCCAGGAAGAATATAAGGTTATTTTGTTCATTCTTTGTTTGGTGAAAAATTTGTTGAGGACCTTCTATGTGCCAGACACTGTTCTTGGCTCAAGAACACAGTGAGAACTGTGAAAACCGCTTTGCCTGCCAGGGCCTCACAGGCTAGTGGAGGGAGAAAGACAGATGGAAAATAAATATTGGCAATAAAGCATTATGACTGATGAAACAGCCATCATGACAAGGTACAATGAACACACCCAGTCACAGTTTGAAGGGTGAGCAGGAGTCTTCGGGGGAGACAGGGCAAGGAAAGCTGTCACAGCCAGAGGGCTGGCAGCTGCAGAAGCAGAGGTTTAGGACTGGGACATGGTGGGGGGCTTCTGAGGCTTCTGTAGGCGTGGAAGGTACAAGTGAGGAGGTGCAGCCAGGCAAGCCTGGAGAAATGGGAGGCGCCAGGTGAGAAAGGTCTCTGAAAGCCTGGCCAGAGAGTTTGGACTTGCCCTCCTGGTGTGGAACAAGATGCCTTGAAGGGTTTCAGCAAATGAATCCTATGAGGCTATTGGCGGTTCGGAGAGGCCACTCTGGAGGCAGAAGAATGGCCATGCGGGGGCTGAGGGAAGGCACTAAAGGCAGAGAGAGAGGAGGCTGGTAAGAAGATGCTGGCAAGAGATAACATGGGCCTGAATCTGGGAAATGTCAGTCTGGCTAAGGAGGGTGTGAATGGAGTGAAGAGGCGGAATAGGCAGGGACTAGAGGCTTATCAGATGCAGGGAGCAAAGCGGAAGCTGGCAGGGGTGGAGGTCTGTTCTGGGGTTGATCTAAAAGATATTTCTGCAGAGGCAACACTGCCCAGAGTGTGACCACAAGCAGACGGAACAGCTAAACATGACTCTTAACCACTGGCTCTGACACTGATCAGGAGAGGTGGGTGTCACTGAGGACACTGCAGGAGCCTGAGTTTCTCATAGTCTTCCAGGGCTGATAAGAGCTAATGGAGACCAGAAGCTGCTGAGGGCAGACAGAGCTCCAAACATGGCCATCCTCCCAAGTTTAAAAGCCAAAAGTCACCTGGGAGAGACGGGAGTGCTTCCAGGCAGTCGGACCCACTCTTCACTGCCTGCCTATCTTTCTCTAGGTTTATTTCTAATTTCCAGTCACACTGACAGGTCCCCTTTCACAATGCCTGCTCTGCCTTCAAGCCTGTGTACATGCTATTCCCTCTGCCTGAAATTTCGACTGCCTCTCGGATTTCTTAAACCCCACTCCAGATGACAGGATTCCTTCTGTGCACTACCATGCCCTTGTCAGAGTTCTAATCACAGTAAAGTGGTGACCTTTCTTTTATTCACTGGATTAAACTGGATTTTGTCTACTTCTCAATTTTCAGAGTCAACATGAGGCCTGAAAGGATGGAGGTTGATAGAGGCATGGATGAATAGAAGGAGGAAGTGATGGAAGAATGGTTGGAGGAATTAGTAGATAAAAAAAGTAGCTGGATGGATGAGTGGATGGATAAATGGAGATAACAGATGGAGGAAGGGATGAATGGATACATACGGGAAAGGCAAAGCAATGAATGGATAGACAGAGAGCTATATAATTAAGCGAATGTATGAATCAGCTAAAAGACCAGTAAATGAGTGAGTGAACAATAGAGTAAGAGAAAGAGCAAATAATGAGTAGGCAAATAAGTGAACAATCATAAAAATAAATGAGTGAGTAAATTGATGAGTGGGTGAATGAATAAGTAAATGGGGAAATAAGTGAAAGAATGAGTGAATAAATAAACTCTTTGCCTGAATAAAATAAAAAACAAGTAAATGGGTAAATGAGTTGATGAATGATAGTGGTGAATGAGGAAATGCCATGGGTATCTGGGCCCCCAAGCAATGTACCTTAGGACTGTGTCAGGTGCATAGTATGTACTCAATTAAGCTTCCGTTGAACGAAAAAAAAGGATGTTGGTAGACCAGTTGACCAAGTGCCATGGCAAACATTGAGGCTAATTTAAAAGGTTTGGATTCTAATTCCAATTTTTACTCTTCAATTATGTTATTTTGAATTCATCATTTTCCTTCTCTAAGCTTCTGTTTCCCCATCTGTAAAATGGGGTGATCATTTTTTTTGTCAAGGCTGTTACGAAAATGTAATAATAAAAGCCATCTGGCAATGATAGGGGTTTAACAAAAGCTACTCCAGTACCCCCACTTTTTTTGTTGGAGAAGACTCTTGAGAGTCCCTTGAGCTGCAAGGAGATCCAACCAGTCCATCCTAAAGGAGATCAGTCCTGGGTGTTCATTGGAAGGACTGATGCTGAAGCTGAAACTTCAATACTTTGGCCACCTCATGCGAAGAGTTGACTCGTTGGAAAAGACCCTGATGCTGGGAGGGATCGGGGGCAGAAGAAGAAGGGGACAACAGAGGACGAGATGCCTGGATGGACCAACTCGATGGACACGAGTTTGAGTAAACTCCGGGAGTTGGTGATGGACAGGGAGGACTGGTGTGCTGCAATTCATGGGGTCGCAAAGAGTCGGACACGACTGAGCGACTGAACTGAACTGAACTGACTGAAATATCTACTGGATATTTTTTAATATTACAAAGCCCCCAACATGTCTCGTCTCACAGAAACATACTTTCTAGCTTATACATCTGAGCAGCTGAATTTAACCCGTAGCAACTTCCAGGATATCGATCTGTACTCATGAATGCTCATCCACTCAGACGTTTCAATCTCAGTTGAGAGTCCTCAGCATTTACAGTTTATTATTGTTGCTTTTATCATCATCATTATTATCTAAAATTTCCCCCCGAGCTTTAGGTAAGGATAGATCGACAAAATTAATTGGGTCTGTTTTTATCTTATTTTAAACTTTGAGTGGAGGAAAAAATGGAACAGGTGGAGAAAGAAAAATGCTTTGTTCTCAAGTGAGGCTTAAATTTCTGAAGCCAGTTGCCCAAGCTCACTCTTTACCCTTGCAGATGGGTGCTCTGGCAAGCCTTATATCCTTTATTTTGCAGTAAGGAAATTGCTTAATCATTTGCAGCCAAAGAGAAAAGACGGTGCCTAAAAACAGCCTATTTTAATAGGAAGCACAGAGACCTCTCATCTTAATGCTAATGACTGCCCATTTATATTAAATAGGCCTCTGAGCTCCGATCTTAAATCCTCATTTTCTTCTTGTCTCCTGGAGTTTGAACCCCAAGACCACCAGGACGGTGGGGGAAAAAACCCAACTCCCTCAACATGTATTGCTCTGTCTCACCACCAGGGGGCACTCCCAGATCAGACACAGGTGGATGCTGGCCACCTGCCTCTCTGCCGCCACCTTCTGTGGATGTAGCATCTTTGCAGACTTACCCAGAAGAGGTGGACCAGAGAGCTCCTGCCTTCTCAAGATGACCATGAAGGCCAGATGCTGCTTTGAAGACTGGAAGTCACTACAGAGGAACCAGATGTTCCTTGAGGCTTCTCTGGATCACTGTGAAACATACCGGGCCTCAAGAGGAGGCGATGGGAACTAAACTGAGGCCCTATTATGTGCCAGGGCTTTACACACCTCAAGTTATTCACTCCACAAACACTGAGGGCGTATGGGAGGAAGTTGAGGGTCAAGGCAGAAACTTGCCCCTCGGATGAGTTTCGTTGGCAGCCACTACCACTCCCCACCTAAGTTATTAAGCAAGAAAGCAGTCTCGGCTGCGGACTAGCCTCAGCCTAATTCCAGGTAAGCTCTGGAGCGCAAAGTGCACCACACAAGGTGAGGGGTTGGCCTTTTGCACCCCAGGCCAGGGAAGGGAAGGGTAGACTTGCCGGGGAGAGGGCAGTTTTATGGAGAAGAGGGCGCAGTGGTGAGCAATGGACTCGAAGCACTGAAAGAGGGGTGCAGCAGCCTGAAGTGTGTGGCGCGCGCAGCACTGACTGCGGAAGTCAGCGTGATCGCTCTCAGGTTATTATCACGCCCTGGATTCATCCCTTCCCAGCCACAGAGTGCGGAGGTGGCTCTCAGAGAAGCCTCTCTTTCAGAGCTCCTCTGAGGACCTCGCTGGCAGCCCAACACTTGCCCAAGCATCTCCCATGACCTTTTTCCTTGCTCCAAAGGGAAGCTTTCAGGGAGATCAGTGTGTCTGACCTCAGGAAGTTGAGATGAGTGAGATGGGGCAGTGGGGACCTGAGTGGGCTCCCTGAGCTCACACACCTGTGCTGACCTGAAAACAATTCATTCTTGATGCCTTTTCTCTTGCCTCCCCTCATCCAGTCAGTTGCCATGTCCTGCCCATTCCATCCTCTTCATGCTCCCCACCCAGCTGGCATCACTAGGTAGCCAACAGTGACTTTGAGATCACCCACAAAATCCTCAGCTTAGCTCCTGAGTAAGCCTGGGAATTTCAGTGTCAGAAAGATTTTTTTTATATATAGAAAAGTTTGCCTATGAGTGCTTATTATTTAATTAATATTCATTGTATTACAGTAACTTAAATAAAAACTAGTCATTCTTAAGTTTGAAGTTCAATTTACAAACCATTATTCTATTTTTATGCAGTCACTTTTAAGGGGCTTTTGATTAATGACCAATCCACTCATAGTCAGTTAAATGATCCATCCCATTTGCAAACTTGGTTAATTAAATTATCTTCAACATTTTTCATAGGACTTACTACTTTAACACATTCAATTTCCTTTTTTAAACACTTTCATTGCCTGACCTGACAAGCATAACTTTCCAAAGTACTTAAACTACTTTGGAAAATCTAATTTAAAAACTTATACATACAGTTAATCTCAAGATCGTGTATACATTCTGGTATCATTTATAAATTTAGTATAAGAAGATTTGTATGCTTTTCCGCAGAAGAATCACGAGTCTAAAATCAATTATACATTTTTAAATTGGAGTCATAAGGCTAATTTGTTCATACTCTAATATGAAAAAAAAAGTCTCTTCAATGTTATGAATACTTTAAACACCAAATACATAATGATATGGGTTTGACTTCTAACCTTTGCTGGGTTACAGGCATTTGCATAGTGAAGGGACAGCCTCCTTCCTCGATGAATTGCAGGTGACTTCCTTCAGTGTGCGAGGCCATCTCAGAGGAAAAGGTTTCATGTGGCAGAAACTGCTGGGCCCCCACATCCATACTCTCCTTCCTCTTTAGAAATAGAACTTCAGTTTCTGAACTGGCATTTGGCCATCTGAAATAAAGAATGTCCCAGCCTCCCTTGCAGCTCAGTGTGACCATGTAATAAAGATCTGGCCGGTGAGAGAGAAGCAGAAATATTAAGTGGCAACTTTAAGAAACCTTTCTGAAAAGACAAATGGTGTGTGTCCTTTCACTCTTTTGTCCTTTCCTCCATCTTGCCACCCGGACTGTGGGTGTGATGGTTAGAACCTAGCTACTTTTGGACCCAAAGGACCAGGGTCTCCCTGGGGATGGTGGAGGGGTGAGCTGGAAGGATCTCCTGGGATTGGAGGACTTCATGGAGCAGAAGGTCCATCTCAGCCTGTGGTAGATTGTTGGGAAGACCCCTGCTGTCCCAATACCTCTGGGCCATGTGACTTTGCCCTCTCTCTGTCAAGAGACAAAGTCTGTTTCCCTGACCTGAATCTGGACTGGTCCTGTGACTTGCTTTGATCAGTAACATGTGGCAGAATTGGCATTGGGTGACCACAGGGGCTGCACAGCTTCCACATGCGCTGTCTCGAAGGGCTGACCGAGAACCCAAGAGAGGATGAGGGTCTCAGCTGGGAGCTCCAGCTGCAGGGACAAGAGTGAAGCTGCCCTCCAGCTGAGGCCCGGAGAAGCCCAGGGGGAGGAATTCCAACACCACCCAGAATAGAAGAAATAAACTGTCGTTGTTTTCAGCCACTAAGTTTTAAGATAATTTGTTTATGCAGAAAAGGCTGGATAAAAGAGCCCTAGGCTGCCCACCTCTGACCTTTTCAGGAGAAAGAAACCTTGTTCTTGTTGAAGCCATTCTTGTTGCAGGTCTCAGGTGAGCCAGGTCCTGATGCACCTGTGGACCAGAGGCGTACCCTGGGATGGATGTGACACCGCAGAGGCTGGGGTGATGCTCTGTGGTCGCTGACTGACAGGCCGAGCCATTTTTGAATTGGTTGCCATGACAACAAAGGACTCCATTTCCTCTAAAGAGATTGGTCTCCTAGACAATTAGATTCTAGCCATACCCATTACCTAATTCTTCTGACTGATCTGAAACTACAAACCCCCCTCACACTCTGCGCCTTGCCCGGGAGGTCAAAGCCGACTTCCTCTGCTAATCTCCTTACAACCTAATTGAATTCTTACCCTTGCTGTCTGCCCAGGCTAAACTCTGATAGATATTCAGAGGCTGCCTTTTGGATTCTGTGTCTCTTTCTGTGCTCTCTGCTACATCACCCCTGAAGCTGAGTTAGACAGGTTCGGCGCGCCTTCTCCTGCACTGAGCCTCAGTTTCTTGATCTGTAGGCAGAGACTGGATCCGACCTTATGCAGCTGCTGGGAGATCCCTCAGAAAACATCTCCAGACAGCTTGCAGCCCTCAGTCCCTTTCTCTGCATCCCTGAATGATGCCCCAGGGCACTGGCACATCTCAGGGCTCGCCAAGGCCTGGAGGACTGGGCGGCTGTCCACCTCTGCCACTGCAAGCCCCTCCCACCTCACCCCAGCCCCCCAGCTGGCCTCATGCCCTTCCTCAAGCCCCTGTGTGTTCCCACCTCCGGGCCTTGGCCCTTGCTGTTCCCTCTGCCAGGGATGCTCTCCCCTTGGTTCTCTGCCTGGCTCCTTCCCCACCCTTCAGGCCTTATTGTGAAAGTCATTTCCCCAGAGAGGCCTTCCCTGATCATATTGTCAAAAGGTCCAGCCTGTCCCATCTTACCCCAACCTAAGAAAATAACCTAACAATTAAATTATAACTTTAATAAAAAGTAAACCTCTTAGTTGAAAACATGTCCACACAAAAACCTGAACACAGATATTTATAGCTTTATTCATAATTGATCAAACTAAGATGTGCTTTGGTAGGTGAATGAATAAATAAACTGTGGTACATCTGATAATGGAATACTGCCCAGCACTAAAAGGAAATGAACTATTAAGCCATGAAAAGACATGAAGAGCTCTTAAATGCCTATGAGTAAGTGAAAAAAGCCAGTCTGAAAAGACTACCCACTGTGTAAGTCCAACTACATAACATTCTGGAAAAGGGAAAACTATGGAGACAATGAAAGATCAGTGGTTGTACAAGCTAGAAGAGAGAAAGACGGAAAGATGGACAGGAGATTTGGGGGAGTGAAACTGTCATTCCATGCAACACTGTAGTGGTGGATACACATTATTACACATTTGTAAAAACCCAAATACAGCACCAAGAGTGAGCCCAAATAATAATGTATCAGTATTAGCTCATTATTTGTAACAAATGCATCACACTAATGTAAGACATTAATAACAGAAAACTGTGTATTGGGAGAGGTGAAGGAGTATATGGGAACTCTATATTTTGTTCATTTTTCTCTGTGAACTTAAAACTAAAAAAATAAAATATATTAATTTTTAATATATTTTTAAACTGCACTTTTAAATATATTTTTTTAACTGCACTTAATGCGTGCAGTTAAAATGGGGTTTTATTGTCACTGTTTCATCCTCTAGAGCATGAACCCCAGAAGAACAGGAGCTGGCCTTGAACCATAGGAGGGATGAGCAATGACCAAGTGAAGTGATTGACAGCTTAGGGCAGCATCCATCCCGTAGAAAGGGCCTAACCATGCTGCTTCCACACTTAAAACCCTTGGAGTAAATTCCAAACTCATTGCCAAGTGCATGAAGCCATCATCTCAGGCCACCCTAGACCTCAATGAAAATCATTCCTTCAGGTTACAATGGGCCCAGCTTTCCACCAGGAACCCAAAGGAAAAGTTTTATTTGAAACCTTCTGATTCTGTAAAGTGAAACATTCTGTCATGTGTTAGAATCATTAACATCCCTCAATGTTTGCAAAGCTGCCTTCTCACTGCAGGCTTGGCCCAGAGCTTGTCCTTCATAATATTGTTCTTTGAACGATTGTTATACCATTTTATTTCTATTAATAGAATACAATACTGGCTTTCCACTCTTGCTAGTAACATAACATTTCCTCCTTTAATCAATTCATTCACAGAAGTTTTTAAAAACTAAATTGAATTGAAGGAAAGTATTAAGTACAGGCCAGTGTTGGCAGTAGGTGGCTGAGCAGATGGCATGTGAATGTTTGAAGTTTGAGAAACACAACTAGAGAAGTTCTGAGCATCCTTTTAACAAGGATTGTTTGTGAGTATATGGTTTGTTGAAGCTGATCGGCTTAAATATATCCATCACTGGGTTATTCACAACAGCAATAACATTACTATTAATAATAATGTAAGCAACTCAAATATTCATCCCATAGGAAGGATGGCCATATAATTGTTCATCCAAGGCTCTCTTAAAAATGAAAGAAGTGCTATTAATGATAACAGAGCAAATGTACCTCAGGAAGATCAGACGTGATGTTCAGTCCCTTTATTATCAGGAAATACTTGAGTAAATTATAGTGTATCCAATTTGCGAACTATTATGATTAGGTAGATTTATAAATGACACTTATAAAGGGTATGTAAAAAATGCTTAAGACATATAATTCTAATTGACAAAAGCATATCATTCAGTGTTCAGGGAAAAGCAGAGACCCAGCCTGGGAGGAGACATGCTGCAGTCAATTGCAACTATCGCTAAGAGATGGGATCAAAGGTGGTATTTTTTTCTTTGTTGGAGGTTTATGTAGAAATACATATGCCTGATCATGTTCCAGAAAACTCTGATTTAGTACACTTGACCATGTCACTTCTTTGCTTAAAATCCCCTACTTACTCCCTTGTTCTTAAATTAAAGCCCACCCATCCCAGCATGGCCTACAGATCTTGCATGATCAAGCTTCCGCTCCGTGTCCTTGCTCAGCACCCTGGCTTTCCTCTAGACTCTTCTGTGCACAGTGCTCCTTTCACCTCTGCCCATGCTACCCTTTCCACTGAAAACCCTCCCAGTCCCCACCCACACACCCACCTGGCCAACCCCTGCTCCTCTGTCAGATCTCAGCTTCAAAGAGGTATCTTCAGGCCCCTGCCCTCCACCTCTGCTGCTTCTTTATTACACACTCATCCCTGGAGTAACTCTTCATTCGTTTTTCATAAATGCTTGCTTTACAAGTTCTTCCCTGCTGAAATGTACACTCCTCGTTGTTCAGTCACTCAGTCATATCCGACTCTTTGCAATCTCATGGACTGCAGCACACCAGGCTTCCCTGTCCTTCACCATCTCCCAAAGCTTGCTCAAACTTGTGTCCATTGAGTCAGTGATGCCATCTAACCATCTCATCCCCTGTCATCCCCTTCTCCTCCTGCCTTCTATCTTTCCCAGCATCAAGGCCTTTTCCAATGAGTCGGCTCTTCACATTATGTGGCCAAAAGATTGAAGCTTCAACATCAGTCCTTCCAATGAATATTCAGGACTGTTTTCCTTTAGAATTGACTGGTTTGATTTCCTTGCAGTCCAAGGGACTCTCAAGAGTCTTCTCCAACACCGTAGTTCAAAAGCATCAATTCTTTGGCACTCAGCCTTCTTTAAGGTCCAATTCTCACATCCATACATGACTACTGGGAAACCATAGCTTTCACTGCACAGACCTTTGTTGGCAAGGTGATGTCTCTGCCTTTTAATATGCTGTCTAGATTTCTCATAGCTTTTCTTCCAAGGAGCAAGCGTCCTTTCATTTCATGTCTGCAGTCACCATCTGCAGTGATTTTGAAGCCCAAGAAAATAAAATGTGCCACTGTTTCCACTTTTTCCCCATCTGTGTGCTGTGAAATGATGGGACCATATGCCAACATTAGTTCTTTGAATCTTGCATTTTAACCCAGCTTATTCACTCTCCCCTTTCACCTTCATCAAGAGGCTCTTCAGTTCCTCTTCACTTTCTGCAATTAGGGTAGTATCAGCTACATATCTGAGGTTGTTGATATTTCTCCCAGCAATCTTGATTCCAGCTTGTGATTCATCTAGCCAGGCATTTCACTCTGCATATAAGTTAAACAAACAGGGTGACAATCCAGCTGTTGCTCCATGTCTGGTTCTGTTATCTCTTGACCAGCATACAGGTTTTACAGGAGGCAGGTAAGGTGGTCTGGTATTCCCATTTCTTTAAGCATTTCCAATTTGTTGTGATCCACACAGTCAAGGCTTTACTGTAGTCAGTGAAGCAGAAATAGACGTTTTTCTGGAATTCTCATGATTTTCCCATGATTTACCAAATGTTGGCAATTTGATCTTGGTTCCTCTGCCTTTTCTAAAACCAGCTTGTAAATCTGGGAGTTCTCAGTTCATGTACTGTTGAAGCCTAGCTTGAAGGATTTTGAGCATTACTTTGCTAACATGTGAAATGAATGCAATTATGCAGCAGTTTGAATACTGTTTGGCATTGCCCTTCTTTAGGATTGGAATGAACACTGACGTTTTCCAGTCCTGTGGCCACTGCTGAGTTTTCCAAATTTCTGGCATAATGAATGCAGCACTTTCACAGCATCATCTTTTGGGATTTGAAATAACTCAGCTGGAATTCCGTCACCACCACTAGCTTTGCTCATAGTAATGTTTCCTAAGGCCCACTTGACTTTGCATTCCAGAATGTCTGGCTCTGGATGAGTAATCACACCATCATGGTTATCAGGGTCAGTAAGATCTTTTTAATACAGTTCTTCTGTATATTCTTGCCACCTCTTTTTAATATCTTCTGCTTCTGTTAGGTGCATACTGTTTCTGCCATTTATTGTGCCCATCTTTGCCCATCTTTGAAATGTTCCTTGGTATCTCTAACATTCTTGAAGAGATCACTAGTCTTTCCCATTCTATTGCTTTCCTCTATTTCTATGCATTATTCACTTAGGAAGGCTTTCTTATCTCCCCTTGATATTCTTTTGAACTCTGCATTCAGATGGGTATATCTTTCTTTTTCTCCTTTGCCTTTCACTTCTCTTCCTTTCTCAGCTATTTGTAAGGCCTCCTGAGACAACCATTTTGCCCTTTTGCATTTCTTTTTCTTGGGCATGGTTTTGGTCACCACCTGCTGTGCCATGTTACAAACCTCTGCCTATAGTTCTTCAGGCACTCTGTCTATCAGATCTAATCCCTTGAATCTATTTGTCACTTTCACTGTATAATCATGAGGGATTTGATTTAGGTCATACCTGAATGGTCTAGTGGTTTTCCCTACTTTCTTCAAGTCTGAATTTTGCAATAAGGAGTTCATGATCTGAGTCACAGTCAGCTCCAGGTCTTGTTTTTGCTGACTATATAGAGCTTCTCCATCTTCGGCTGCAAAGAATATAATCAGTCTGATTTTGGTGTTGATCATCTGGTGATGTCCATGTGTAGAATCATCTCTTGTGTTGTTGGAAGAGGATGTTTGCTATGACCAGTGCATTCTCTTGGCAAAACTCTGTTAGCCTTTGCCTTGCTTCATTTTGTACTCTAAGACCAAACTTGCCTGTTACTCCAGGTATCTCTTGACTTCCTACTTTTGCATTCCAGTACCCTTTGATGAAAAAGACATCTTTTTTTTGGTGTTAGTTCTAGAAGGTCTTTAGGTCTTCATAGAACCATTCAACTTCAACTTCTTCAGCATCAGTGATTTGGGCATAGACTTGGGTAATCTCAATGGATTGCCTTGGAAATGAACCTAGATCATTCTGTCATTTTTGAGACTGCACCCATGTACTGCATTTCAGACTATTTTGTTAACTATGAAGGCTACTCCATTTCTTCTAAGGGATACTTGCCCACAGTAGTAGATATAATGGTCATCTGAGTTAAATTCACTCATTCCAGTCCATTTTAGTTCACTGATTCCTAAGATGTCAATGTTCACTCTTGCCATCTCCTGATTGACCAATTCCAATGTATCTTGATTCATGGATCTAACATCCCAGTTTCCTATGCAGTATAGTTCTTTACTGCATCAGACTTACTTTCATCACCAGCTACATCCACAAATGGGTGTTGTTTTCTCTTTGGCTCAGCCTCTTCATTCTTTCTGGAGCTATCTCTCCATTCTTCTCCAGTAGCATATTGGACACCTATCAACCTGGGGCGGGAGTTCATCTTTCAGTGTCATATCTTTTTGCCTTTTCATACTGTTCATGGGGTTCTCAAGGCAAGAATGCTGAAGTGGTATGCCATTCCCTTCTCCAGTGGACCACATTCTGTCAGAACTCTCCACCATGACCTGTCCGTTTTGGGTGGCCCTACAGCACATGGCTCATGGTTTCATTGAGTTACACCAGGATGTGATCCATGTGATCATTTTGATTGGTTTTCTGTGATTATGGTTTTCATTCTGTCTGCCCTCTGATACAGGAGTATAAGCAGCTTATGCAAGCTTCCTGATGGGAGGGACTGGCTATGGGAAAAACTGGGTCTTGCTCTGGTGGGCAGGGCCATGCTCAGTAAATCTTTAATCCAATTTTCTTTTGATGGGTGAGGCTGTGCTCGCTTCCTAGAATTTGGTCTGAGGTGGCCCAGATCTAGAGTCTGCAGTCTCTATGGCAGGGCTGTAGGCTCTAGGGTAGAGGTAATGGTGACCTCCTCCAAGAGGACTTACGTTAGCATGCTGGACCTCCCAGGACGGCTGTTGCCAGTGCCCCTGACCCTGCGGTAGGCCACTCTCGACCCACGCCTCTGCCAGAGACTCCCAAACACTCACAGGCAGTCTGGCTCAGTCTCTTGGGGAATCACTGCTCCTTTCTCCTGGGTCCTGCTGCAAACAAGTCCTTGTTAGTACCCTCCAAAAGTCTCTGTTTCCCCAGTCCTGTGGAAGTTCTGTAATCAAATCCAGCTGAATTCAAATTCAGATTCCCTGGGGATTCCCAGTCCCTTTGCCAGAGTCCGCAAGTTGGGAAGTCTATCGTGGACCCTAAAACTTTTACAACAGTAGGAGAACTTTCGTATAATGGTTCTTCAGTTTGTGGATCACACACCCATTGGCTCTATGGTGGGGCTAATGATGACCTTCTCCAAGAGGACTTATGCCACACACACACAAACTCTTTGAGGCAAAGATTATTCACATTTCGATCCCCACTGGGCCTTGACACCATGGCTGAGTAAACACCTTGATATCTGAACCCTGATGCTTTTGTGAGTTTTACAAATGTTCCTAAGTGGGCAAGGAACCCTGTTGTAATCTATAAAGTGAATAAGAAAGTTAAATGGCAATATTCCCTAGTGTATTAAAATTTGATTGCAAAAATTTGATTTATGTACTTTCCAAGAGCCATCTTTTATATAAAGCAAGTCTCAATTCAAGGACTTTTCTCCCCGCAAGGTTCAAAGCTCAAACCACTGAGCCTATATTTTTCATGGTTGAGATGGTCAGGGGGTGGAGAGTGTTCACTGGAAGCTGGCTTCTGCAGACTGATTTCTTAAGTGCAACCCACCACCACTTCCATGATGATGGGCCTGATGCCCATCACTGTCTGTTAAGGAGAGAATGCCGTGCCTAGAGCCTTGGGTCCCAAGACAGGAAAGCTACTAAGTCATTCCTGGCACCCTGTGTCCCTCGAGTTCACTTTAGAGGGTACCATTTGCCAACAGGATATTCCCTCGTGATCCCTGCAACCTGCTGTCCACCCAGAAATCAGCCCGATCCCCCTAAATCCACATCAGATAATGTCTCTCAGTCATTCTCAAAACTTTCAGAGTTCTCTCTCATCCAAGGCAGAAACTCAGGGTTCTTTCCATGGCCCATGAGTTGAGCAAGAGTATAATAGATTGCCCAGAACAGGGCACTCTGAGAACAGACAGGGCTCTGTTAATCCCACGAGGTAACAGTGTAAACCAGGATGCTGTCCTGGGATCTGGGAAGCCCTAAAAGATTGGTGTCTGTCTGCTCTACAATCTGTTTCCTCCCCTCTGCCTTCACCAGACCCCGTTGCTTCCTGACTTCATACAACCACAGACCAACCCCTGGGTCTTTGCACTTGCTGTTCCCTTGCCTGGAATGCTACTCACCCACTGACACCCACAAGACTCCCCAACCTCTCACACATCTCTGATCAAGTTCTCCCCCATTCAGACAAGCCTCTGTGACCCCTCTGAGTCATCACTGGCATCTACCCTTTTATTTTCCCGCACAGCCCTCGTGCCCACCAGAGATATTGACCCATTCCTTCGTTTATAGGCAATTGGTTTCCCCAGGAGAAAGTTAGCCTCATGAAGTAGGGACTCCAGTACCCCAGGGCAGGGTATACCACAGGTGCTCAATAAACATTCATCAGGTTCTGGGATGAATTTGAATGGGAAGGGCATTAGTACTAATTACACAAAAACTGTGGGCCACAGTCCCTGAGTCTTCTCATGCATCCTCTGCGCTACCTGCCAGGGTAGGACTCATTACCCCCATTTTCAGACAAGGAAGTTGAGGGTCCTTTGCTTTGTTCATCAATTGCTCACTCAGTGCCTGAAGCAGAGCAGGTATTACGTGTCAGTTCTCAAAAAGGCAGAAGTCCTTATGAAATCATCCACGTGGTTTTACAGATGAGAAACCTGTGTCCTGCAGGATTCAAAACCCACCTTCCACAGCAAGTTAGCAAGGCTGGGACCACTCTCAGACCCCAGGTCCCCAGACTCTCAGCCCAGTGCTTCTTCTGCAGGTCTAATCGCAACGTGGATCTCACCTGGAACAGGAAACTGCTCCTGTCTCCCTCAGCACGATGGCAGGTTGCTCAGGAGTTATGCTGGTGCAATGGGGGTTAAAAGTGAGACAGGAGGGCATTTTCAGATGGCAAAACTCAAAGGTGATTAAGGATGAGGGGAGCCCTGGAGAAAAAGAATAATGGGGTTTGGCTTAAGTTAAACAGAGATAAGACAAACAGCATAGAAGTGAAACTCATGTAAATTTACATATTAGAAGAGTAATTATAAGTCTTTCTTATAAATCTCTTGCTTCTATAATGGGAGGCGACAGGGACTCAGCACATGAATCAGAAATGCCAAAATGACATCTATTAGGGCACCATTGTTTCTGACACTGTCACGGGGATTTTGTTGTCTTCAGCTTTGGGGCCTTTAATTAACAGACAAGGCCCATTGGCTGGGCTCTTAGTGTGAAAGATCTGGAGTTGAGTGGGGGAGGGGCGATCCAAACACGCAGGATCATTAGGATTGTCATGATCATTATGACAAGACTTTCCTCCCTGGCGTTGGTGTATGGCGTTGTCGTGGAAACGCCAAGCTTATTAGGAATACACTCTTTTAAGGCCACTGGGATGTTGGCATCCCTTAACCCATGCCTGCTCTGTGATCACTGCCCAGTGTGACCTTGGTGATGTGGACAAAGAACCAGAACTCCACAAGGCCTGTGATGTCTTTATTCCAATTCTTCCTCTGGCTTGCTCTCCACTGCTGCAAATAGCTCATGAAAAAAGATCACCCCCCTGGGATGTTAGAAATGTTCTACATTGCGATCTGAGTGGTGGTCACACGAGAGTGTACATATGTAAGAATCCATTGAGTCACACACTCAAGATTAAGGACACTTTACAGCAAGTATAGCTTGATTTAAAAAAAAAAAAAAATTTTTTTAATATTCTTCTCTTACCACCAGGAGAATTTTGTCCTTTCAACAGGTGTGTGCCTTGCTCAGGTGACATCTGAAATACCATAATCAGAGTCACTGCCCCTCAAGAGGAGGCAGCAACCAGTGTCACATACCCTGGGGCATCAGGTGAGTCAGCTGTTACTAACCCCTCACCTCTGTCCAGAGAAGTCAGGATTTCTCTCCCCATTTGACGGATTGGAAACTGAGGCTCAGTGAAGCACAGTAGCTTTCCCAGAGTGAAAAGGGATCTGAGCCCAGGCCTCTGTGACCCCTTCCTAGCCACACTCTTTTCACCTTATTTGGGCAACCCTCCTTGACCAAAAGAAATCCATCCAAAAAAGGGAGTTCAGAACAATAGTGTTCTAGAATCCATAGCATATGAAGAAAATCTTAAAACCAAAAAAAGGAGTGTTCTCATTTTTTTAAAAATATCGCAAAATAGTGAGAGTAATGAACATATTATTGCTTGCTCTGCTCAGTACCTTAAAAAATGTTACTTGACTACATTGAAAAAACCCACAACCCATATTTCTAGTCCTAAAAATAAAATCTGACTACTCCAGGCCCGTGTTCCCATGGCATGCACTCTTCAGTTTACCGTAGTCCCCACCCAGTCACCCTCACTCATTTGGGTGATGACCATCCTATTTGGTGGGCTGGCATTCATTCACTGTCCTACTGGGAATCATGCTCCAGTTTTTCTCTGAAGAACCACCCCTTTCTCCCTCCTTGTTCAGCTGCTTTGAATTGGGTTGAATGCAACTCTGTCTTTGATGGTGATCATGTGGTTCAGTTCTGACCAATCAAGGCATCATGTCCATAATGATTGGCATTAGCTCAGAATTGGACATTTGACCCATTCACAGCCTATGGGTGCAATGAAACTTTGGTTGTGATTTTCTGTGAAAACAGCGTGCTAGATTTGAACCTTGCCTGGATAGCCTGGAGCTGCTGTCACCCATCTTAGAGGCATGTTCAGTCTTAGAACTGAGTCCAAGACAGAGGAGAAAAGAGCCTAGTGATAGAGAGGTGCTAGTGTCGTTATTGAACACTTGGATCAAGCTCTACCTAAAGCTAAATATCCTGGCTCTTTCTTTTGTGTGCGTCAACAAAGTACCCTTTTTTTCTTTGCTTTTATAATCTATTTGAGATGGTTAGGCACCATTTGCTTGCAAGTAACAGAAAAGTCTGAATGGCTTCCCTGGTTGCTTAGACAGTCAAGAATCTGCTTGCAGGAGACTCGGGTTCTGTCCCTGTGTTGGGAAGATCCCCTGAAGAAGGAAATGGTAATCCACTCCAGTATTCTTGTCTGGAGAATTTCATGGATCAAGAAGCCTGGTGGGCTATAGTCCATGGGATCCCAAAGAGTTGGACACCACTGAGCGACTAACACTTCCATTTTTCAGGCATCATTTGTTTGCATGTAACAGAAAAGTCTCCCTTAGAGAATCTCCTAGGCCAGCAGACAGCAGGATCAGGACCCAATGGGTAAAAATAACAGAAATCTAAATTTTAACCCAACATAAAGATGGAAATTTCCAGTATGGAATTATTAATTATATGTTGTGAAATCTAAGTAAGTGTTCAAGCAGATCAAAATTTCTTAGCCTGTCAATTTGGGCAGAGGGTAGGTGGTTGGAGGAGATAATCTCAACCTTATGTTCTTTCCATCTTGTTAATCCTATGAATATCAAGAATGGAATATTCCTTGAGCAGGATTTCCTGTATACCTTAGGGAGATTTTTCTCCTACCACAGTTTTCCATTATCACCAAGTCCCAGTTGTCTCCTTCACAGCAATTATCAATGTTTTAAATTTTATTTAAATTTATTTTTAATTTTAGCTTTATACTAATACTTGCCTACTTGTTTATTTCTGTCTCCCCCCTGGGCTATAAATTCCATAAGATATTGTAAAATAATTAGCCTCCAACTAATAAAAGTAAATGGGAAAAAAACATTCCATAGGAGCTGAGACCTTATCCATCTTGTTTTCTTGTACCTCTAGCACCTGGCAAAATGCCTTCAGTTGCTACTTTGTTGAATAATTGAAGAAATGAATGAGATCTCCCTGACTCTGCATTTTCTTTGGATTTACTCAGAAAAGCAGTATCCAAGCAGAACCCATAGGTCGGTAGCCACTGAATCTTCTAGTCTTAATTAAAGACATCTCATCTATGCTGTTTAATGAAAGATACCATTTTAGTAAAGGACACAGTGCCCGCGTTTCCTAGAGTAGTCTTCATCCCTAGGATACCCCCTCTTGGCTAGATACATTTCCCCTCCTGCCTGGTCATGCAGCACAGGAGACAGCACCCCTCTTTTCTCTCCCCACTGTGTTGCCATAAGTCTGAGCTTTGCCACTATTCCTTAAGGCAATATAAGAAAGAAACCATCATTTACTGAGTGCCTACTATGTTCTAGGAGCTTTGCATATTTGATCACATCTGACCCTCACAGCCACCTTACAAAATTGGCATTGTTCATCTTTATTCTACAGAGGAAGGGACAAAGGCTCAGAGAGGTCACATGACTTACCTAAGGTCAAACAGATTTCAAAATTAGGACTAGGGTAGTCTGAAGTTTGTGCTCTTTCTGTTATCCTACATTTAGTTCTTAAACTTGAATATATGTGTGTATGTGTATATGTGTATATATATATATATATAATTTCCCCCCCTTTCCCCAGCACTCTTTTCTGAAAAGGGTCTTATCATTCTTGGGGACTAAGGTAACCCCCCCCACAACCACACACACACATATATACACACAGAGCCCAAGTTATCAGCATCTTTTTTTTATTTATTGTACTGAAGGAGTTGGAAATAACACAAGCCTGTTAAGAACTAAGGAAATTCCAAGTAAATTGAAAAAAATGGGATGTTGAAAAGCACACGAAATAATTCTGTAACAATCTATACATTTCAGAACATCATGAGAGAGGCCGGAGGGTTGTGCATGAACAAGTGTGCTCAGTAGCATCTTATACAAAATAACCAAACTCAAGTTCATTTCCTCCCTATCTAGACCAGCCTCCTGGATCCACAAACCAAACCATATTGCCTGGGTACAGTGAAGAGAGAGAGAGAGACAGAGGTTTGAGAGACAGACAGAGACAGGGAGACAGGGAGAGAGAGAGGAGAGGAGAGGACTTAGGTTAAGGTCACTTCCTCTGCTTCTGGGTTATTTGAATCAAGGAACTCATTTGGCCTCAAGCACTTAATCATTTCATTCCTCTTTCTAGTTACATTTTGAGACATTAAGAGGAAAGAATAGCCATGAGAGCTAAAGAGGACTTTTCCCCCTTTCTAGCTGTTGCTTCTGGATTCCCTTACCCAAGGCCCAATGCATATGCTTGGCCAGATGGCTTGGACTCTTGGCGGCGGATTCAGCTGCTCAAGAACATGGTTGTGCTTAACCTCATCAACTTGACTCAGCGTCAGTTCATCCTGGGGTTGGAGTGTGATACCGATCAGTTTAATTAGTTTAATGAGGGCTGAGGGAACCAGTCCACAGTTTGAATCTGTTGCACAGAACAAATCAGTTTGCCTCACTCCTGCTTGATTGTTTCAGCATTCAGAAGGCGAGTGGCTCTCATTAACCATTTTGGAAAGAGATTTTTCACTCCTGTCCTCTCCTGTGAGAAGTTGGGTGCTGTCCAGGGTATCAACACGGACTGGAGTCCAGGAACCAGGTTCTTCAAAAGGTGTGTTTCTGAACAGCACAAACTCAGAGTACACTGAATGTTTAACCCACTGGGAGACCGAACTCGGTAGTGTAGGAATTCCTGCTCCAATAAAAAGCAGTGTTTGAGCTTTTTGCCTAAAGCATGGTCTCTATAGTAGGGAGAGCTTTTGAGGTTTGAGAATAAACTGTTAGGATTTTTATATATCTATTTTGTCTTAAATTTCTACCTTTTATATGTTTTATGCTATATATATATGTGTGTGTGTGTATATATATATATATATATATATATATATATATATATCTGCATGGGGGGGGAATGTTCCTTTTCCTTCTGAGGGGCATTGATCAGAATACTTGATCATAGATCCAGAGGGATCAAGGGGTCAGTCTGGATTCCTGGGACGGGGGAGTCATATAAAGTGAATTGATAGCAAAGCTGCTGCTGCTGGTAGTTTTAGAGATGTAGGGTGAAGGCAAGCACTAATCTACTGGAGAGGGAAACCTCCCTCCTCCCTTCTCACTGACCTGGACAAACACGGCATCTGGGCAGAAGAGAGGCAGACTAGGTTTGGAAGTCTTGTAGACAATGCTGAACTGAGCATGGGGATGGGGACCACAGGGGCGGATGAATGAGTTCACTTCAATCTCCAGGGCATTATGGGAAGCTCCTGACTCAACTCCATGATGGGGAGGTGTTTACTCATCAAAAAGCTCTTCGTAATAGGCACTGGGGTCTTCCTGAGACCGAGTGACCACCTTGAACTGACGCCGGAGGAAGCCACCATAGCGCTTCTGGTTGTCCCACTTGAGCTTGGGACGGATGCGCCGTAAGAATCCCCCGTAGCGCTTGTACAGGTCCTCATGGCCCACCTCATCCCCCTCCCCTTCCTCAGCTCCCTTCCCAGTCACCTCTGAGCTCCTCTTGGGGTATTTGCGCAAAAAGCCCCCATAGCGTTTGACCTGCTCCTTGGGTTCCTCCTCATCGGAATCCCGCGCTCCAGCCTCCAGGGCACCATCGTTCAGCTGAGCATCTCCATTCAACTCAGACTCTGCACCCTCCCCCAGCCTGCCAGAGAGACCCCTGAGCTTCTCTGCCAGGTTGCTGCTTAGAGCATTCTCCTCTGCTGGAGTGCTGAGAAGGAATCTGTTTTTTTCTAGTTCCTTCAAGTAGGGCCTGATGTGCTTGGCCGGCTCACTGCTGGACTCTTCCAAAACTGCCTTGCTTTCCAAGTCTTCCTTGCCATTGAGCCCAACAGTGAAGGGAGTGAGGAAAGACAGAAGGCCCTGGCACCTCTCCCACTCCTGAGCAGGCTGCAGGGCAGCCTGGCATTCCAGGGAGCAAACCTGCAAGAGACCCCAGAAGACCACAGTGGTAACGCCACCTCCATCAAACTGTCAAGCCACAAGCTCCTGCTCCAGAGAGTCCCCTGTCTAGTGTCTGAGAAAATTAAAAAACCATTGCTAAGTCCCAGGCCACCCACTTTCATCCTCCCAATAGTGCCTAAAGGTAAGTGACTTTACACCCATGTGGAGGATGAGGAGAGATGAAACAGCTTTTCCAAGGGCCCAGGGCTACAGATGACACTGTGAAAATTGGAAGGAAGATCTTCCCATACTGCTCTGCTGGGCTCATCCATAATCTTCTGCTTCTGACTCCAGAGGGACTACTTGGTTCCCCCAACCTTCCCTGGGTATAAAGGATGCTGCAAACATTTTATACAGTGGAATAGAAGCAATGCAAAATGGTGGAAAGAACACATATAAGGAGTTGTTTAAGGGTTCATTAAACCTGGGATGACAGTATCTACTTCAAAAAAGTAGGGAGGACTCAAACATGATGATGATGATATTGTTAATAACAGTGACCACAATGACAATACTAGACAGTACTGGAACTTGAACCCACGTTCTAATACCATGAGTCATCATACTTAAGCACTGGGCACTTCTGATATCAAACCAATACATGATGCGCTGCGTGCATCTCAGTGAAGAGTGGCTAGAGTTAATACTTTGCATCATCAGCTCGTGGAATCACTCCCATTTTGCATGCAAGGAAACTGAGGCTCAGAGAGGGGTTTCCAGGGTCATGGAACTAGAAATTGGCAGAACAAAAGCCCATGTCCTGTCCACCAAAGCCTTGAACCTTTATTACAGCTATCTGTTGTTATGGGAGAGGCACAGGGAGGAGCTTGATTCAAACTAAAGCCAGCAAGGCCAGTCAAGCAGTGGTGTAAAGAGCTCCTTCCAGGGGAATGACTAGATTTGGGAATGCCCATCCACCTGGTTGTGAGAAGCCCGGAAAAGTTCATCTTGGGCTGCCAACACCCAAAGTCAACACCACCTCATGAACGACATTCCTTGTTATCAGGCAACAGGCTCCCTGGAAACCTGAGCTTTGTTCCCAGATCTGAGTGAGCCTCTGGAGGTAAGGTCTGGGGAGGGAACAGGAGTCTAGAAAACAGCTGTCCATAGCTGCCCAGACTGACCACAGGGTAGGACATATTCTGCACAGTCTGGGATGAGTCTACAAAACAGGCTCACAGCTCCCCAGGCCTGCTACCTTCTCTCTCTGGGCTCCACACACGGACTGTCCCTTCCATGCACTCTGGCATTGAGGAGCCTTGCCTGAAACTCACCAGGGGGTTGATGGGTTGGGGTCCATCCTGGGTCTTCACAGCACACAAGGAGCACTGGGCCCGGCAGTCCGCTGAGACAGAGGGGAGTGCGAGCAGGCAAGCAGCCAGTACCAGCCCTTTCCACACCATTCTGTCTTGGCTCTTCCTGCTGGAGAGGGAGAAAGAGGAAATGAAATCTGTGATCGCCTACTCTGTGTGGTGTGTCCTTAGCCTGCAAAGCCAACTCTTGCTGGCATCACTGCACTGCAAGGAAGCCATTCTTGTTCCCATTCTACAGCCAAGAAAACAGGCCTATGGGGGAACAGTGGGTGCCCAAGGCCAGTGGTCAAGGAAGGGAACTAACACGCTGAGTGCCAGCAGTGTACTAGGAGCTTTCCTACATGCTCACATTCAACCTGCACAATAGTTCTTAATGTGGGTTGTACTGTTAGACAGATAGGAAAGTGGAGGCTCAGAGAGGATAAGTGATTGCTTACACAGCTAGGAAGTGGACAAGAATCGAAACCCATTCTGACCATTCACCAAGCCAGAAGACGTGGCTATCTGTTTTTCTGCATTCTCTGAAGCTTCTACCCCCTGCCTGTCTCCCCTGTTCCCCAGGCTGGCCCCAGCCCAGTCCTTTCTGCTATGGACATTTCCCACGCCAGCACTCCTCCTTGCCCCAGCCATGGCTGCACCTTCACCGATCTCCATGCTGGTCCCTCCTGCCGACCTTGAAATGCCCTTCTTGGTATATCAATTCCAGGATCAGAACCATTGGATTGGGTCAGGCTGAGCCCTTCCCCTAAATGTCAGAAAAGTGAAGTCGCTTAGTCGTGTCCGACTCTTTGTGACCCCAAGGACTGTAGCCTGCCAGTCTCCTCCATCCATGGGATTTTCCAGGCAAGAATACTGGAGTGGATTGCCATTTCCTTCTCCAGGAGATCTTCCCAACCCAGGGATTGAACCCAGGTCTCCTGCATTGCAGGCAGACGCTTTACCATGTGAGCCACCAGGGAAGTAATAAATGTCAGAGACACCCTCAATTCTAACCCTATAGCCAGTTCTTCAACTCTGCATTCTGACCACATTAGCTACTTGTAAATCCCCTAATGAATGGAGCAGTGCCTGTCCCACCTGTGGCCCCTTGCACATGCTAGGGCCAGAGAATCCTCCTAGAAAATCCTCCTCCTAGAAACCCCTCCTGTCCTCTCCTGTTATCTGTCATTTTGGCCCTAGAGTAGATGTCATCTCCTCCAGGCAGCTTCCTCTGATCTCTTAGGTGGAAGGGATGTTCCCCTTTGTATTTTTCCAGAGATTTGTGCCTCCTCCTTTAAACTATTCCACTACTTGGTAACTACCTATGTGAGTCTTTAAACTTTGGTTCCACGAAGGCAGGAGCTGTGACTTGTTTTCATCTCTGAAACACTTTTTCTGTGTTCCCCACACATGCCAGGTTTGCACCTACCTCAGGGCCTTTAATTCCCTTTTTCTCCATCTGTGGTACTGTGGCCTCAGATTTTTTACTGGCTTACTCCTTGTAACTAAATGAATACAGTGTCACATCACCTGGGAGATGTTTGCTGACCCCAGGGTTTAACATGGCTTCCTGGTTTCTCTTGCATTCCTGTGCTTTTGTTTTCATCGGAACACTCACCATCTCAGACTATCCTACTGTTCGATGCTTGTCATTGTTTATTACATTTCTCCCCTAGAATATTAGCTCCCTGCAGGCACAGACCTTAACTGGCATGTTCCCCACTATAACCCAGCACACATAACTCTAACCAGCAGATAGTAGGCCCTCAATAAATCCTAAGCAGATGAATTAATGCTTCGCAAAGAGTCTATTGAAAGTTGTTCCTTTCATAGTTAACTCCTTATAAACCAAATACCAAGATGCAAAGCTGCCAAGTAGGAGCACAGAGCTGGAAATGGGCAGGGCTGCAACACACTCTCCAGCCTGGTCCCTGTAATCTGCTGCCTCTGTCGCTGCTCTGAGACAGCTGTCCTCCCTCCCTGCTCCATCCCCCAGATCCTCCTGCACAATGCCCTGTTTGCTCAGGTGAGGAGGAGGAGTTATGAGATTCCACCTGTGGCTCCAGGGCTCCATGCCATAGCCCAGAACTGGTCTCAGAGCACACAGGAGGTTTCCCTCTAAAGCATGCCTGATGAGGAGCCCAGCCACCATCGATGTGCTTCAGGCCTTGACTCAGCCCCTATGTCCGTTGTCTCATCTATCCATGCCCAGTGAGAAGGACACTTCCAGTTCTGTGAGTTCCCCGTGCTCTCCAGTGAGTGGTGAAAGTGGGGAGCAGGCCCATTCTCTTTGACTTACCACATGTGTGCTTGTAATGACTACAGTTTCTAGAACCACTTTGATTTATTAACAGCTGAAACCTCCACGAGGTCCAGAAGGCCCCATGCACAAGGCTTTTTCTTGTATATTATTCCCAACCCACCTGCCAGTTGTAAGAGGTGGGCATGCTTATCCCTACTTTGTAGATGAGAAAGTTGGTGCTCAGAGAGGCTTGGCAAATCTCCTGAGGTCACACAGCGATCAAAGGTGAGAACTCAGGCTCATCTGCCTCTCTTGAGGCTGGGCTATTTCTGTTCTCCTAGGTCCAGAAGCTCAGAGAAAAAACCTCACGTAGGCGGGCCTGTGACCATCCCACGCCGCTCTCCTTCCTTGAGTTTTTCTCACGCTCTATCAACTGCTGAGCGGATTTGGGTTCCAGGTCAGTGAGCTGTGCTGTTTATGTGCAGATATAAAGCAGCAGCTCATGTTTTCCTCCTATCAGCGATGGCTGGGCTGGCCTGGTACAAGATTAGCAAGGTCTTGCTCATCCACTGGGGATGGGCAGCAGCAACGCCCTCTTACTCCTGGCTGGAAGCTCCCTTCTCGGTGGCTACAGCAGGAAGCTGGATTTGAGATCTCACTGTCCCACGCAAATACAGTGACAGCATCCCTTCCTTTCATCCATTTCCTTTATGTTCAGCAAGGATCATTCTAACCTATCTGATGGTTAGTGAGCACTCATATTCTGAGTAACTTTCATGAATGAACTCATTTATGCTCACAGCAACTGTGTGCGGTGGGTACTATTGTCATGCCCACTTCACAGACGAGAAAATTGAGTTAAGACACCTGCAAAGACTCTACAGCTAGTTAGCAGAAAAGCTGGAATTTGCACCCAGTCAGTCTGGCTCCAGAGCCCACCTTCCTAACCACCAGGTATGGCCCCAGCTCCTTCAAGGCACCCCAGCCTCCAGCTCCTTCCTCCTGCTTCCAGAACGGCCTCTAATCTTGTCCCCCGAGAACCCGCCACAGGCAACCAGAGGACAATTCTGAATCCAGTCTGACTGCACCCTGCCCTGCATTTGGCTTCTCCATCACCTTTGAGAGGACCTGCCCCTTAGCCAGGCTGTCCAGGGCTTTCCTGGCAAGGAGAGCCACCATTGACCCGGCTTACCACGTGCTGGGCCCTCTGCTGAGTCCTGTATGTGTCTCAGTATAAAGGGTGCTCTTAATAGCCCCCTAAGGCTGGGACTGATATTCTCCCCATTCTATAGTGAGGAAGTAGAGGCACAGAGAGATCACATCTAAGCAAGCAACCCCAGCAAGGACACGCAGGCAGGCTGGGTGTGCGTGCCATCTGACCTGGGCCTGACCACATCACCTGCAGCTCTATGAGAAATGCCCTCTGTGCCCTGTCCCCCAAACTTTTGCACATGGAGCACCTTTATCACCACCTCCACACTCCCGTCTCCCTCTGACCTGCCTGCCTCCCATTGTTCTTAAAACTCAAACTTAGTTACCTCCTTCAGGAAGTCTGTCTAGGTTAGGCTTCTCCTTTGACTGCTCACAGCTCTCCGTGTATCACACAACTGCCTCCTTCTGAGTTCCCTGCCAGGGCAGACTCTGTAAGCAAAGGCCCTGAGGTGAGAGAGGCTGTGTGTGAGGATGACAAGGAACAGCATAAGGGAGGAGACAGGAGACGTGGGCAGAGGCCGCATGGTGTCAGCCCTTGCAGGCCAACGTGCAGCTTGCATTTCATTCCAATGTGATGGGAAAACTAAGGAAGTTAGATTGTTAAATGAATGAATGAACGGATGATGTCCCCTGCGCCGAATGCAGAGCTAGAACAGGAACAAGAAGGGCACACGTGTAGAATGAATAACAGGCAACCCTGGATCTCTCAGAAACCCAGTTTGAATTTTTCTGACTCACACTCTGTGCCCCCAGAGAAACCTCACGGGTCCACAGGATGTCTAAAATCAATACCTGCTAAAGAAATTCAGCAGATGTTAATGAAACCATGGGGAGAGGTGGGGGCAGGCTGGAGGAAGAGAAGAGGCAGGTAGGAAAGGGGAGAGAGGAAGAAGGGGAATGAGACCAAGGGAGTGAAGAAACGGAAGGAGGGGACAGGGAGGAAGTGAAAACCAGTCAAAGACAGAAAACAGGGAGGGAGAGAGGGGGAAGTAACTAGAGACACAGGAGCAGAGGAGAGAGAGGCAAGGCTGTCGAGGGGAAGACACAGAAAGAGCGGATGGGGGTAGAGGAGGAAACAGGGGGAGTATGAAGGATCCATTCCAACTTCACTTGGGCTACAGCAGATGGAAAAGAAAAAGGCAAAAAGGGGTAATAACATAGGACCTCGAACATTGGAGAAACAAACGAAAAAGAGGTGTTCAGTGAATTAACTGCCACGTGTAGAGACCCTACTATGTACTGATGGGTTAAGAGTGCATGGTCACATCGATCCTCAGTGCCAGGCCATGTGTTACCACTTTACACGCGTTATTCTCACCCTCACAACACTCAACGCTTGCATACCCACTGTATGTGGGACAAGACTGAGGCTGGGAGAGAAGTTACTTGCCCAAGTTTCCCTGGCTTGTAAGGGGGAGAGTTAGGCCTCCGAATGGATCTCTCTGGTGTCTAACAGCAACACATCAGCCCTGAGGTTTTCCTAAACAATCCTGCTTCCTTCCTTGTGTAGGATAAACAAATTATTGAGCAACGTCAGTTGAGTCCCCCCCGGGGAGCCTTTTCGCCTTTGCTGTGAGGATTAGCTTGGAAGCCATACATCAGAGACAGCCCTGCCGGCTCATTCCTGACTTGGGAGGAGGCAGGAGAAAAGGAACTTGGCTGTTCACCTCTGTGTGAGATGCGGAAGTGAGTCTGCTGAATGAGGGGCAGTGAGTCAGTGCACAGACCCCGGGGAGGGGGCTGAGATAGGGGGCTTGCGTAGTCTATGGTGAAGGAGCCTCGTAAGGGTCTCCCAAAGGGAAACCTCTGCACTTGCTAGTTTAGGAAGCATTTCCTCAGCCACCACCTCCAGGCACAGTGTGACAGCCCAGCCAGGAAAGCAGGGGCTGGCGGGGGAGGAAGGTGACTCTCCCCTAAGGGAAAAGGACATTTTGGACTCATCAGCCTCCATAATCACATGATCCAGTCCTAATAAATTTTTCACTATATGTATACATCCCACCATTTCCGTTTCTCTGGAGAACCCTGATTCATACACCATCCCGTTTGTTTACAGCGTGTCTTGTGACAAAAGCACAGCTGAGCATTGAAACAGATGCCAGACTGCCCATAAGTGTAACTGTCTGGTCTTTAACAGACAAAGCTTGCTGACCCCTGCTTTCATTATTTTATAGCCATTTTATAAATCTAATTATTCTAATAGTTTTGAAGCTGATATTCTTGGGGAAATCAGAGAGGAATCGTCCCCTTCTCCAAGCCCCCGTCTTCTCATCTGTCAGTGGGTTGCATGTCACCTCCCCGTCGTGGCTCCATTCAGGCCCCTGGATGGTCCCAACAAAGGCCAGCGCACCATAGATCTTTCTTCATCAAGGGCCCAGAGTTCCTTCAAAGGGAAGGGACTGCTTGCCCTCTTCTCCCCTCTCAATATTTCTACCTTATAGTCAGAGGGCTCTGAGGAGCAGCGAGCATTTTCATTTAAAAAGCCAGCAAGGAATAATAATGGCTTGATTTAACATCGCAATTATCTCTCTGAGCACTTTATCGCATATGATTATCCCTATTTGATAGAAGAGGAAATGGGAAAAGGTAGAAATGAAGTCACTTGTTTAAGGTCACATCATGAGTCAGGAGGGAAATGGAGACAGAATTGGAGCCTCCCACACCCAGGCCATGACTCCAGCAAGCACTGTGCTGCCACTTTGGGCCAGACCCCAGTCTCCCATGGACCCTCCAGGGCAGGTGCTAGTATTATAGGCTCGGGTTCCTGGTGGAAGAGTGAGGACCCTGTGACCGAGCCCCCCACACCCCACCCCAAGGCCCAAGCAGGTGCGTAGCTGAGACAGGATTCTGAGTCCTCCTCATGCCCTTCTGAGGGCACAGCAAAGGGCCTGTATCTCAACAACAACATCCTTTAGCAGGATCTGGTAGCCTGGGCACTATTAGCCCATCTACTTGGTGGAAAAACAGAGACTTGGAGAAGCAAAATGACTGGGCCAAGAGGCCAGGCCACAGGGAGCAGGCTTGCTTAGCGTCAGCCTGAGGCTCTGCTCCACAAACCACCTGAACTCTAGGCATGATCACGGTCCTGAAGACCAGACTGTTCCAGGAGTTCGACCCTACTTGAAAATACATAAAGTTCACCTTTGTGGGTCTCCAGTGGGCTGGCTAACAGAATCCCCCCAAACTGGAAAATAGCACTTTTGTTAGGCCTTTAGAGTCATTTACAAAGAATGGCTCATCAACCTAGAGGTTGGACAGGGGGACCACCCTGCAAACCATGGTCATAACTGGATCATCAAGTATAGTTTTGAAAGAACGCTTTTTGAGAGCAGGATTCCTATGGAATTCTGACCCTTTGTTATCGGATGCAATTAAGAGATGGGGAGAAAAGCAGTGGAGGGTGGACAGAGAGATGGAGGTGAAAAGACAGACAGAGGGAAGAGAGGATGAGAAGCAAAGAGAGCGGCCAAGGGCTGCATATGAAAAGAAAGAGATGAAGAGCCTAGAGAAGCAGAGAGTAAGATGACAGGCCATGAGGGAAAAGAAAATACAGAGAAGAAGCAGAGATGGGGAGAGGGTGAATGGAAATGAGAGGGAGAAAGTATAAAGAAGAGGAAGGCGGAGGAGAGGGGACGAGAGGTGGGATGGAGAGAAAGCAGAGAGCCTTGATCAGGAGGTTGGCCTCTTATGTGAATCACAAACACCAATTCCCTTCTCCCTCAACCCTCTGTTCTGCCCTGTATTTCTAGTGGCCAGTGGACCAGAGGTCCAATCACACAATGATTGCTCTGTAAGATCTTGTAAGGTTAAATCAAACTGTCCAATAATAGGCCAAGGGACCCAATGCTGATGAACACATTGCCCCTGGTGAGCAAGCCTGTGGCCTGCCGTAACCACTCCGGCCAAGGGGATGGCTGGAAAGATCCAGGGAAAGGCCTCCTGAGCCAAGAGATGTGCCTCATGGCCCTGGGCCATTGCCCTGCCCCCAGGAGCATCCATCTGGACCCAGGCTGGAGGGATTAATGACATCTAACTTCATAGCAACCAGGGACACTTCTCCATCTCCAGGGCCTGATCCTGGGCTTACCTGAGTGCCTCCAACGATGTTTACTGCCTGTCACAAAGGCCAACTCTGTCGCAGTGAAATCATTTTAGCCCTTTGTCAGATCCAGTGAGATTAGCCAACATTTATGGGCTTGGATGAGGGGAAATGGTGAAAGATATTAGCTAGCTGACTGCACTTTCTCAGACATGCGATGGAATCAAATCACCAACTATTGATCCTGCTTGGAAGATGGAAGACATCTAATAAATACAATAATTGTGCAAGAATGACTCAAGAGGTGGGCAGTGGGGGATGGTGGGGGGGGCGGTGTGGAGAGAGGATCAATCAAGAAGACACTTCAAACCTAAGGCAGGAGCTGAAGACATAATGTCTTCTGTTGGTGTGGAGAGAAGGGGAGGGCAGGGAGAGGAGTGCTGGCCCCGCAAACAGAAGTATTAGACACTACATCATATTTCCTGGATGTAACACACAGCGTGATGGAGTGGGATGATAGGTTGGGGGGAGGGGATGGCTCCATTTCTGAAACTTTGAACAGTGAAAACTTGAGGAGTCACACTAGCATTTACTGAGTACCTAAATGCCGGGCATCTTACTGTATCCCATGAGAATCTCACAATAACCTCAGGAGCTAAAATCACTGTCCTTATTGCTCAGAGGAGCAATTGCTCAGTAGGGAGTGCTCCTGTGCCCAGTCACACAGCAAATGAGTGGCGGATCTGGGACTTGAACCCAACACGGTCTTGGGTGTTGTGAGATGCCCATTTAGATGTCAAATGAAAAATTCCTGGCTCCTGAAGACCCTAATTCTTCTCCATATGCTTAAGGGGACCAGCCTGAGAGTTGGTCCATTTGCCTACTCTACTAAACAATGTGCTAGATTCTGCTAAGAAGTCTCTGTGGTATCCCCTCCCAGCTATAGTGGAAACATGGGATTCACCTGCCACCCATCACACCTCTAGCTCCTCTGGGGCAAAGCAGTGGGCTTGAGATCCCTTCAGCAACCTCCCCCAGGCGGCACAGCTCACCCGGCTAGGGCTGCTGCAACAGCTCCCCCACGCAGATCTCAAAGCCTGGAGATAAATGACCTGTAAAAATAGAACAAAAGACAAGGTGGGGTGGGACTGAGGTGGGGGGGAGAAGGTGAGGGAAAGGAGATGGAAGGTGCAGCGGTGGCACCGGGGCGCAGGGGGAGAAAATGCAGAGAAGAGGCTTGACATTCTGTAACGTTTGGCAACAGATCTTCACTGGAAAGCCTGTCAAATTAGAAAGACAAGACTTGTATATTTTCCCAACCCTTGGGAAAAAAATGGTAATGAAGACTTTTGGTCTGTGGGAAGGGAACTGAAATCAAATCCAATAACCTGAAGAGGTTGTTTCTCTTGGGAAGCTTGGAGGCTTAATTAAGGAATGTTTGTAAAGCTTGGAGATTCTACACAAAAGATACCCAGGAAAAAGTCTGAGGTCACAGAATTTACTATTCAATCTGGGAGTCATCAGCAGGTTCCCACCACCACCCCTGAAGTTCACCAGCCTTTTTTGCAAACCAGACTTTGAGATTCAATAATATTTTCTTTGAATGCAGATATCTTTTTTCCAGAGCAAATGTCTTTCCCATCCGAGTTTCCTCCCCACCTAGCCTTGACTCCTCTGCCTATAATTTACAAGAAAGCAACAAGTCCTCTCAAAGTAAGACTGACAAGAAACATCCTGCTAAGCCTATGTCTCCTGGCATGCTATCATTCTCTATGCCTGTTCCCTCCCAACAAAACAACCCCAAACTTCACTTCTGTGTAAAATCACATCATAGGAAGCCACTCAAGCCAGCACCCTGTCAGCAATTAAACACGATCCAAAAAGAATGAAAAGGCTGAACTTGGTTGTACGTTGATGTACATGATACATGGTAAATGCCAGAGCTCTGACATCTCATTAATGTCCCCAGGCTCTTGTTCTGTAAGTCCAGCAAGAATCACTGACCTTTAAAATTACCCTGATGAGCTAAACCTTTCATTTCCTTCACCCAGGGCATCCTGCTCTCACATGGACGCTGCTGTGGGGAGGCAGCCTGCCAGAAGAAGAAGCACCCCACAGACAAAATCAAGGGGTGGTCCTTTTGGGAAGGAGCAACCCACCTGTTCAAGACAGGGCTATACAGAGAAAGAAATTCTGAAGAGCAGTCTGTCTCGAACTGATCTGGCTTTTGTAAACTAACTGCACAACTCTTACTACCTCTGGCGGACAGTCAGACCCAAACCTGAAATTCCCCAGCCCAAGCTCCCACCTTCTCCAGGTTGAGAGAGTCAGGAAAAGAATAAATAAAACCAAGAGAGAGGGTTGCAGCACCCTCTGGATGTTACCTGTGTTCCTCTTTGTCCCCGGGCAGCTTCAGGCCCAGCAGGTCGGAGGGTGGTGGCAGCAGGTGACTGGTCCAAGACTCAGGCGTTATCTTGACTCCGGCTCAGAAGGAGGTGCCAAAGAGGCAGCTGTGCGCACAGCCAAAGCCCCTTAGAATGGCAGTTCTGGTGCCTCGGCCCCCCTTTTATGGACTAGAGCCTCCCCCTGTCACTCAGCCCTCGCTCAGCGCACGCTGCTCATAGCCAATGGGGAAGTAGCTCAGAGCAGTCAGAGGCACAGACCCCCGGGCCCTTCAGCTCGAACTCCCTGGGCCCCACACAATAGGCTTCTCTTCGTGACAGGGGGTGTGGGGGAGGAAGGCAGCCGCCGTGGGAGGGGGGTGGATCCTGTGTGTAGTGCTGTTTGTCACTTGAAATCCGGCCACTTCAGTCTCTGATGCATTTCCAGGAGAGTGTCACAGAAAAAAAGAGAGAGAGAGGTGGGGAAGGACAGAGCCAGGAAGAGTTAGAGAGACAGAGAGAGACTCAGAGAGAGAGAGACGGGGATATAGAGACCGATGAGACCGAGAGAGAGACAAAAAGACAAACAGATATGAAGACAGAAAGAGACAAGAGACAGAGACAGAGAGAGACAGAGAGATAGAGAGACAGATGGATACACAGAGAGAGTCAGACAGAGATAGAGAGGCAGATGAAGACCGAGAGAAACAGACAGAGAAACAGATATGGAGACAAAGAGATCAAGAGACAGAGAAACAGAGAGATAAAGAGACAGATGGGCACAGAGTCAGACAAACAGATAAGAGACAGAGAGAATCAGACAGACGCAGAGACAGAAGGAGACAGAGGGAGAGAGTCAGAGAAACAGAGAACAAAACAAAGATTCAGAGAGAATCAGTGACAGAGAGAGACCGTGTCGGAAGACAGACAAAGCAGAGAAGAAAGAGTCCGAGAAACACGGAGACACAAGGAGAGTGTCGACGGTCAGAGAGAGGAAACCCGGAGAGACAGTCAGAGGGAGAGAGAGAAAGCGGCCAGGACAGAAGACAAACTCAGAAGCCACACGAGGAACAGACGCAGAGACGGAGGCTATGAGAGCCCTGTGAGGGGAAAGGCAAGAGGCAGAGGAAGCCAGCAGGGGCGTGAGTGGCCCTGCGCTGCGTGCTGTGGTAGCTCCGTGCCTGGCTGGTGCATGGGTGTGCTGGAATGCTTTTTGTGTGTACATTTGCCTGCCACTGACAGTCGACTCTGGTACATGCCTGAACTGGTGCCAGGCGCAACCCGCCCTGGCAGACGCACAGCCCTTCCCCAGCAGCCAGGAGCCGCGGTTTATTTTTCTCTGTCGGCAACACAGAAGGAATATCATGAAATCCTCCTCAAAATCTGGGCTACAGGGTGCCTTTGCATGCACTATGGGCGCGGAGCAAACCCACCTCGTGTGCATCCTCAGCCTGTGCGGGGAGCAGTTTGAAGACTGCACCCTTCGTGGCTCCAGATACCTTCCAGCATGTGGGGGGGTCTCTAAGTTTGGAGGAGAACATGCTTCTCCCCTCAGTCAGCTGCAGACAAGCAGTTGATGGTGGGCAGCACCGTTGTTTCAGAGGTCAGGAGGGGGCTGCCCATTTCACAAGAACCTATGCTGTATGGGGCAGTTAGCCGGTGTTGCTTGGTTTAGTCTCCATGACCTGGCCAGGTAGTGAATATTATTTCCATTTTGCAGATGAGGAAAAGGAAGCTTGAGGGCTGAGAAACTTGCTCAAAGACACACAGCAAGTAAGTCACCAAGCAAGGATCCAAACCCATGTTCATCTGACCCCTTCCTTGGACATGAAGCCTTGACTATGCCTCCCCTGGAGAGCGAGGGGCAGGAGCTTCCTTCCGTGGGGCTGTCCCTCCATCTGCACGGTGTAGCAGAGGCTGGGCCTAATACTATTTAGGTTGTGGATTTGACTCCCAGCTCTTGCTCACAAGGGGAGAGACCCTAGACAAGTTTCCAGCCTCAGCTTCAGTTTGCTCACCTATGAAATGGAGATAGCAGCATCTAGATATTGTGAGGCTGAGACAAGAGATGTGCCACAGAGCGCATGATGAGTGTTCCGTGACCAGGGGTCCTGATGATCCATAACGTCATTCCTGCTCTGACACCCCACGGTTCTCCAGGGTATCATCTTCTCTCAGCACCTGGTTCATTACAAGCTGGAAGATGCAAGGGGCTGTTCTCTGGGCACCGACTATGTTTCAGACACTTCTGCATGGTTCATTGTATCCTCACAACAAGCAAACAGGTGGTGTGGATACCACAGTGCATCCTTGAACCCCTTAGGCAGCTGAAGTTCAGGGAGGCCCCAGACACACAGGGAGGGGGGAGGAATTGAACCCAGTCCCTCAGCCTCCAAGCTCAGATCCCTCACATCCCCCTCCAGCCTGGAGAGGAGGCTTCCCTCCTCCCTTCCAGAGAGGACTCTTTGGGATCTGATCTTGTCCTCCTTTCTGTCCTCGTCCCTTTTCCCAAACAGCGTGTTGGAGCTGACAGGCAGATGCAAAGACCCGGGGTACCCCGGTTGAGTGAGTGAGTTAGTGGCCGCACCTCAGGCCGCTTCCCTGCCTGGCAACCCAGAGGGATTGGCTGGAGGCTGTTCACTGACACCTGAGTATTTGGGACCTGCAGTAGCTTCTTTACCCTCAAGGCCAAGTCCTCACCCCAGTGGCTCTCTCTTCTTACTGCTCACCATCACCTCCTCCCCCTCAACCCTACCTCTAGAAGCTCTTGGTAATAACCTTGACTAGACAAAGGCCCTAAGACATGGATACCCATTCCTGAAAGCCAGCAGGCACTGGAAGAATAGAGGCATAGGGCCTCTCTTGATTTTTGTTCATCATAAAGAGAAGTAAAAACAGCAGGCATGGAGATGCTGTGAATAGCCCTGCTTTAAGTCATTAATGTTTCATATCCTTCCCCCCCAGAGTCTGTTGTCAGCCTTGAGAGCAAACAGTTCATTCACTTGCTTTTCTTTTCCTTCCTTACGCACATACAGGACAAGGCCAGGAACAGCCTTCTCCCCTATCCTAGAGGAGCTTGTTACAAAACTCCCCCGCTCTGGGCTCAGCGATGCTCCATCACATCACAGACCCCACGGCAGCAGCACGTGGGATGGGAAACCATAGAACTGGAACAAGCTAACTTGGGCTCGAATCCCAACGCCCCCGCTTACTCTGGTGGTGACTGGTGGATACCTGGCCTCCTTCAGTCCCTGAGTCTCCTGGAGACCGGGGACAGCACCTACCTTGTGCAGGGTCAGGAGTACCCCCAATCTCTGCCGTGTCTTCAGGGCACACATCTCTGATTCAGATCTTGACATGAACCAAAAACAAAGGCGGAAGAGAAGAAGGCATTTGTAACCACCAGCCCTCAAACCATTCTGTTAGGGAGGAATAAGGAAGAACTTGGCAGGAGATAGAAAAGTGAAAATATAAAGGCAGCTTCTGAAGGCCACCCTACATGCCAGGCCCTGTTGTCAACTGTTCACGTTATTATCACACTTGATTTTTCCCAACAGCCCTGCAATTAGAATATGATCCCCACCCTGCTTTAAGGAACAGAGGCTGTGTGAAGCTTCAAAGTTGTGCAGATAGAACATAGTAGAGCCCCATCTGCATGGCCTCAAGCCAGGCCGTGGACTTCAGACCTGTGCCCTGACCCAGGCTGGACCACTTCCGAGCCTTTCCCCACCCTGGCTCCGTCTCATTCATGGAGATCTGTGTCTTTCCTTTATCCACCTGTTGCCCTGGAAAGTGGGAGCAGCTGACCATGGGTCACTCAGGAGGATTCCAGGGAATTGAGTCCCCACCCTCTGCTGAGCTTCCAGTCTTCACTCTGCAGTGTGCCTGGCATGGCTCTCGGAGGACCCACACCAGCTGCTGGCTGCATGGCCGCCACGGGACAGACAGTCAGAGCCTGTGTTTGAGATGGAGCAATGCTCAGTCTCTCTCTCTCTTACTCTCATATTGAAACACACTCATATAACAGTGTGTTTGGCCCTAGAAGTGCAATGCATAGCGTGCAATTCTGCCTTCTCTGTGCTCGTGATCCAGATTGGGGGCTGGATGTAGGAACAGGCCACTCTTAGAGGTGTGACGAGTACAGGGTTGGAAGGAGATCAGGATCTCTGTGGGGAGACAGAAGAGCCTGGTGGGGGGGTGGGGAGGAGCAGAGTCTGGGAGGTGAGAGCCAGGTGAGCTGATGCGGGAGTGGGAAATGTTCAGCAAAGGGAAGGAAGGGCATTGTGGGCAGAGGCCTGGAAGCAAGGAGAGTTGAGGAGAAGCCATCCTTGACTTCTCTCTTTCTCTGGCCCCACACCCAAGTCATTGGATGTCTTCACTGTTTGTGGCTCCGTTGCCCTGGTCTGGCCCCCATCACTTCTGTCGTGGATGACAGCTCCAGCCCCACTGGCCCCTCATTCCAGCATTAGCCCCTACCTATTACTTGAGTCTTCAGCAACCTGAGAGATACTTTCCCAAATGTAACTCAGATTATGCTATACTCCTGTTTAAAACACTCCGGTGGTCTTCATCTGACTTGGAATATGATCCACACTCCTCACCTGCAAGGCCTTCTCTCTGCCGACCTCCCGCTTCCTGCCCGCTCACTGCTCAGCAGACACCCCGGCTCCCGGCTGCTCCTCAGACACCCGAACACGTTCCTGCTGCGGAGACTTTGCTTGTGCTGCGCCTTCCATCTGGAACACTTCTTGCCTTCCTGTTCACTCCGTCACTTCATCTAGGTTTTGGCTTAAACTTCACATCCTCCAACAGGCCCCTTGCCCACCCTTTGCCCCATCAATCCTGATCCTTTGCCCAGCTCTATTTCTCTTCATAGTGTTTGTCCCTGGCTGATAAGAGATGTCAGTTTGTCTGATTGTTACCTGCATACATGCTGGTGGAGTGTAGACTATGAAGGCAGACATATTGTGGTAGGGGGTGTAAAACAGTACAGCTGCTGTGGAAGAAGTGTTGGTGGTTTCTCAAAATATTAAATATAGAATCGCCATATGGCCTCACAATTCTTCCCCTAGGTGTATACCAAAAAGAGCTGAAAAAAGGGACTCAAACAAATACTGGTACACCAATGTTCACAGCAGCATTATTCACAGGAGCCAAACCAGCATCAATCAGCAGATAAGTGGAGTAGTCTCTACATGTCGTAGACTATTATTCAGCCATAAAAAGGACTGAAGTTCTGATACTTGCTGCAACATGGATGAACACTGAAACATTATAAGTAAAATAAGCCTGCAACAAAAAAGACAAATACAGTACATGTCTATGTCTATATTTAGAGGTATTTAGAATAGGCAAACTCATAGTGACAGAAAATACAATAGAAGTTACTAAGGGCTGGGAGGAGGTGTAAATAGTGTTTAAACATCAGAGTTTTTGTTTGGGATGAAAAAGTTTTGGAAATGGATAGCGATGATTGTTACACAGCATTATGAATGTACTTATAACTTGTACACTTAAAAACGCTTAAAATGGAGGGATCAGGAAAGGGCTGGGGAAGCAGGTGGCTGCTTTCCTGAGGAGGAAAGCTCTGCAGTAGCAATGAGAAGGCAGAGGGAAAGCTGCGCTGCCTTCCCTCAGCCAAGAGTGCAGACAGATGCCAGCAGCCGAGCTGAACTGGAACTGGAGAGAATGTCCCTTTCCCAACGGGCCAAACCTCCCGTTTCCTCCTGCTTCGCCTCAGCTGGGCGTGGAAGTTTATCATTCCAGCTAGTAGTTGTCATGCATCTGCTGATGCCCCAATGAGTTGTCTCCACGTGTGACGTCATCTTATTATCCTCATAGCATACCCCCAGGGTGGGTGCCATTACCGTCTTCCTCCGTCAGAGGAAGCGGCACTCAGAGAGGCAGTGACTCAGCTAAGGGCACACAGCTCTCAGATGGATGAGAACCAAGCTCAAGTTAATCTGATGCCAAAGCCCATGCTGTGAGCTCCTTCCTCACTGATGCCCATAAGCAGCATGTGCATAGATGCCATTATTCACTGTGCCAGGCACGATGCCAGGATCAGGTATAAATTATCTTTGATAAGCTCCCAGCAGCCCTGTGAGGGAAGCGCTGTAAGTTCCACTTTGCAAGTAAAGAAAATGAGGCCCAGAGAGGTGAAGTGGCACAGGTGCTACTTCAGGGAGCACAGCGGGTCAGGTGTGGAGCCAGGACTCACACTGAGGTTGGCACCTCCCCAAAGCGTGACCCTCCCCGCTGCGCCATTTCCCATGATGCCCCTCTGTCACTCCCAACCACCTGGGAACAGGTCCTGAGCCAGAATCCAGTCAGCGCTTAGGAAGAATGCACCACCCTTTTCCTGTGTTCTGAATCCAGAACCGTAGGCCTCACACTCATAACAACACGCAGGGACCCCTTGACCTCAGCTACAGTCCAACAAGAGGTCAGTGGTGGGAACCGTTTTTGCCCAAATGAAAATGGAAAATCCTGAAATCTCAAGTCACTGAAATCTTATCCCAGCCACCATGTATCAGGTGATGGCTCAGTCATAGGTGCTTCTTCTAAACCACATTTGCCCCTCACAACAACCCTACCATGTAGGTGTCACCAGCACACTCTGCAGATGGGAACTGAACTCGGGCAGTGCTGTCACTTGCCCAAGGCCACAGTACCAGTGAGTGGCAGAGCCAGGACTTCCTGCCTCAAAAACCAGAGCTGTTTTCCATCATCAATCTGGCCATCAGTTCTGAAATTCCTCCAGGGTAGCCTGGACACCAGCAGGAGGACAGGTCCACGAAGTGATCCCAGATATTAGACCTGAAATGAGACCCTTGATCTGAGAGCTGCCCCTCATCAGCAATGAGCTCCACCAGGTACATTGCTCTTAATAAAAGCTCTTAATAAGAAGTGAATTTCTTTTTGCCAAAGGGGAAGGTTAAATTGCTTTTTTTCTCAATCTATGAATCTTACAGTTTCTCCTAAATCCTTTTGAACTGACAAGTTGCTACCTTCTCTGCATTCATTCCATAAAATGTTCCCAGAGTGCCTACCAGAGGCAAGATTCTCTGCTAAACACTCAGATGCATGGCTGAGAAGACCCAGTCCCTACCTCTGGGGGTCACAGTCCAGTGGGGATGACAGAACGTAAACAGGAAATGTCACTGTCATGTGGGAAAGTCTAAGATGGGGTGACTGTGGAGGAGTTGGGTCCTTCTGGCCAAGAGGAGAGGTACCCATGTCAGCCTGGCAGAGGAGGTCAGTCATCCTGGAGCTGGAGACTGAAGCCGGGTTTTGGAGCCTGAGTAGGGGTGTACCACGGTGATTGGTCAGGTTCCGTGAAGAAGGAAACATCCAGGCTTTTACAAGCACAAACAGATTCAACATAGGGAATTGGGGAATTTTAAAAGGTGTTGACAGGGACTGGGGGTGGGGGATAGGTGGAGCAGGACTACTGGAAGAGAAGACTGGGTCTCCCAGAGCACTGCAAGGCCTCCAGCCACATGACAGAAAGCAAGCCAACAGGATGCTATCCCCACACGGCATGAGCTGAAGAACCACAATGACCTTACAATCCAGGGGTCCCGAAGCTGGGACCAGGGAGCCACCACTACAGCATCTCACACCCCTGGGGTGGACACTGGGCTCTGAGATGCTGCTGCAGAACCCCACTCCATGTCTGCTCTGGCTGCAGGAAGTGACCAAAGCAGTGGGAAGGCGGCCTCCATTTCATTCCATCGTGTCGGCCTCACACAAGTCTAGCTATTGGCAGAACATAATCTGCAGCTGGAATCCTAGCTTCACAGGCATCTGAGTAAAATAGTTTTCAGCTCTGCAGTCCAGGAAGGTGCACGATAAAGAAGCAGAAGGAGGGGGATTGGGAGCTGAGGGCAAAGCAGGCATGCACATTGCACATGGGAAAGAAAGAAGAGTGTCATAGGCCAGGTAGACACACGTCTTCATTCTTCTTCTGCCTCCCGCCCCCACTTTCCCTGCCCCACATCCCCTGCCTCAAGCCCTTTGTCCAGGTCAACACTCCCCAGGTGGTATGGGAGCCACCCACAAGCCCTGCCTTGTGGCCCACACAGTCGAAGAACCTATCAGACCAGTGAATCCAAACTGTCATTTTAGTGATGGGGATACTGAGGTCCAGGGAGGAGGAGCTACTGTCTTAAGGTTGCACAGCCGACTGAGCCCAGAACTCAGCTGTTCCCACTGTATCACTCTGTTCTGCCTGCCAGCTCACCCTACCTCCACTTCACATTCTGGGGTTCACCCTTCCAGGTCTGGGGCTTGGCGGGAGCTGGGGGGTGGCACTTGCAGATGGGACAAGTTCAGTCTCTGGAGTCAGATAGACCAGAGTTCTCTTCCTGGCTCTGCTCCTCCAACAGCATGGCCCTGGGCAAGTTACTTGAGCCCAGCTCCCTCTTCTATGAAACGGGTGTGAGGATAGTATAGAGCTGTGTTGAGAACACAGCTAAAACATATAAGAGGGCATAGAGTTAAGTAGTCTCTAAATGGACCTAGTATGACTAGTTCTACAATACTATTCATTTTTAAACTGCTATCATCATTATTATTACTAGTAGATAATCTTCCCCACTTCAAGATGAAAAAAAATTTTAAGGTTTGATAGTGATTTAACCTGCATTTCTTTTTCTTCTCCTACATCATGGCAGGATCAAAACACCTGCCCTGGAACAGCTTCCATCATCCTAGCCAACTGACACTTATCATTTTCTAACCAAACATCTAGATTTCTCCCCCAATAAAGGGACTCAGAAATCACACCCAGAGACCCACAAGTACCCTCAGGTCCCTACACACACACAGAGTCACACCAAATATACACACATTTGGATAGGAACAGAGTGACATACAAGCTAACATAATCACCGCCCCCCCAGACTCCCTCTTTCTTTCTCTCTCTTTCACACACACACACACACACACATACATATACAGAATAGCCGCAGCAGCATACATGCAAATAAGCCCTCTGATGCACCCCTCACACCCCCAGTCCTGTGGCACATCCAGGAATATTGAAAGTAGCAGGAAAGGCAGCTGGGAAGCCCAGTTCCTGACTTCCCTTTCAATAACCGGTTGGCAACAGCTCAAGGGTCCCCATAGCCCTTGTAGAAGGGCCTTTATCAGTCTAATTCTGGATCTTCAGTCTAGGATACTTCTCAGATAAAATAATTAATTTTCTATTATAGCCTCTCCCTCTCTGAGTCATCCTTACAAGTCCCTGGAATAATGGCATTTAAGGAAGAAGCTTTCTGAACACCACAGATCAGTACAGAAAAGTTCAGCTTCCTTAGTGAAGCATTTATGTGCTAGGGAGGGTGCATGGAGCAATGTAGTTTCCACATTTGAGAAAAGTAAGTGGGAGGGAATATCACACAACTGTGCAGTGCAGATCATCATTTAAATTAAATCCCCTGGGGGCTCCTTGGCAGCTTTAAATCACTCTATGCCTCTGTGGAGGTGTCTCTAAACAGTTTCTCTCCTTTCTTCTGCTTACCATTGAGAAAAGCAGTGTGGAGCAGTGGAAACATTCTGGAGTTGCATCTTGGGCTCAAGTCTGATCATCATTTTTGGACTATGTAACTTACCTCTGTAAGTAACAGCTGCTTTGTCAACAGAGTACAGTGATTAAAGGTAAGAGCTCCAGAATCAGACTGCTTGGCTCTGCCTCTGACTAGCTTTGTGATCTCTGGCAAACTACTTAATCTCTCTGGACTTTAATTTTCTTACCTTTGAAATAGGAATAACAATGAGACTTACCTCACAGAGTTGTTGCAAGTAAGCTGCTGCTGAGTCACTTCAGTCATGTCTGACTCTGTGCGACCCCATAGAAGACAGCCCACTAGGCTTCCCTGTCCCTGGGATTCTCCAGGCAAGAACACTGGAGTGGGTTGCCATTTCCTTCTCCAATGCATGAAAGTGAAAAGTGAAAGTTAAGTTGCTCAGTCATGTCTGACTCTTAGTGACCCCATGGACCGCAGCCTACCAGACTCTTCCATCCATGGGATTTTCCAGGCAAGAGTACTGGAGTGGGGTGCCGTTGCCTTTTCCATGTTGCAAGTATAAATTAATGCAAATACTCAGTGTTCAATAAGTGCTAGCTAATGTTCTTATTACTGCAACCTTCCAACATTGTTGGGAGGATTAAGAGAGATTAAGAACAAGACTGTACCATGGAAGAAGCAGAGATGTCAGGTGCTACTATGATCAAAGATAGCTCTGTGGGGGATTGGTTATTTGGAGAAAAAAAAAGCCAAACATGAACTCCACATTTGGGATCCAAGAAAATATTACTGCAAATGGCTTGGGGTCAGACAAATTTGGTATTGAATCCTATTTTATCTCATAAGCACTCTGTGACCATGGGTAAGTTGGTTAAACTTTCCAAGCTTTAGTTTCCCATTTGTCAGTTAAATAAACATTCTGCCAAAATCTCAAAGATGCTGATGATCCTGCAGCAACAAGGCCAAGGGTATAAAATTCCTTTGCAAACTAGGACCAGTGAGGGGGGAACTCTTCTTGTTTGACAGGATTCTGTTGGGTCTTAGGAGTCTCCATATGGAGATGATAAGGAAGTTCCAATCACCTTATGGAGCTGATTTGAAGACTGCATGAAATTCTCAGCAAAGATGCCTGGAATGCACATTTCTTTACCTATGCTGTCTGGCAGAAAGTAGTCATTACTGCTTTACTCTGGTTACTGAGCCTCAGTGGTGGGCATGCTTCCAAAGCACTTGTTTATAAGGTGCAGCCTACTCTAGACCAGTGTTGCTCCTGTCTCTCAAGAGGCCCTATTGGAGAGAAAGAGAAATCAGAGGGAAGTGGCTTTGCCTGAGTTTCTGCCATTTGGAGCTTCCTCCTTGCCTTTAAACATTCTGGTTTCATCAAGTGACTCATTCTCTCTTCTCCTCAGCTCCTAGGCTAGTACTTCTAGACAGCTCCTAGACTATGATCTTTGGGTACACGGTAGGTACTCAGAAGATGTTGGCTGAATAAACAGTACATCACTAATTCCCACTAGCCTTCATTAATTAGATCTTTAAACATAATGAGATCTATAGACAGGAGCTCTAGTTATCCTTGTGTCCCTGGTGGCATCCAGACTGTTTTGGCTTATCCACAGCAGGTGTGGCAGTAACTGTCATTTTGTAAGTGTTTCTTCTATTCTGAGCATCTTGTTTTGTTCTCCTCAAGATAAAGAGCTGGGCTTTGTGTATTCATCCAGTCTTTTCTAATGTCCTCTTTGATAAATCTGCTCCATCTGCACTGGTCACTTTGTTCCTTGGACATGCTATCTCATTCCCTCTTTTTGTTTTTTTTTTTTTTTTTTGGTCCTCTATGCCTTCTGCCTGAAACACTTTCTTTCCTCAATATTTATAAGTCTTATTATTTCAATTAGTTTATACTTATGCTCAAATGTCATTCCTCAAAGACGTCTCCTGTGATAATCTTATCTAAGAGAGAATTTCCTACTATTATCTATCTTCTTGCCTGGAATTACGTTACACACTCATTTGTATATTTGCTTATTTTATGTCTTCCCTACTGGAATGTAAGTTCTATGTAGTCAGAGACCTTGTCTTTCTTGTATTTGACTGTATGTGAAGCTCCTATAACAGTGCCAGACCATGGTAGGCACTCAATAAATATTAATAGAGTGAATGAATGAACAAACATATTATCATATGAAATACTGGTCAAAATGAATTCTTGGAATATGCACCCAACTCCAAGCTATGAATCTCAGGCCCTACCTCTCTGGTTTCCCTATAGTCAGTTCTGACTCAGACCTGCCCACATTCTTGGGTGATAGACATAGATGAAATCAGCTGGGGGAGGCATCCATGACTGATACTTTTTCCTAGCCCAGTAATATGCTAGAGGAAGGAACTACCAATTTCCAACAACACTTGTAAATAAGGCTTATAAGGCTATGGGCTTCCAATACCTCTCTCATTGTAGAGATTATTGCCCAGTGTAGTTATTAAGAACACCTATCTCTTCAGGGTTTCCAGTTAGCAAGAAATGCCAAGTGAAGACAGCTGGAAAAAGAAACATCAGCTTTGAATTCCAAGATATGACAAAATGAAGATGTCACTATTAGCCAGTGAAAAGTTGGCTCATTCTTTCCCTCTCTACTCACTTCCCCTGGGCTCCATTTTCTGCCTCAGCACCTGCGCTGCCTCATACTGAGAAGCAGGAATTGCTTTTCAGCACCACGGACAGCAATCTGCAGGCAGCCAGAAGGCAGAGGGAGCCGAACTTTGGGCATCCATGAAGTCAAACAAATACTGACTGGAGCACATCCTGGGGCTAGGCATACTGAAGAATACGAAGATTTATGTGGTCCTGACCTTCAAATAACTTAATCTCTTCAAGTCATCAGCATTCCTAGGCTGATACAGCTGGGGCAAGGCCCCAAGCCTTCTGATACTTGAAAAGTGGGGGAAATCAAAGGGGAAATGCTTTCCTTCCCAACAATTGTTGAATTTCTGCTGTGCATCCACATATGTCATCTAATTTTATCAATAGACTACCATCCGTAAGGAGAACAGGTACTACAATGTCCTATGCATTGTTACATTCCAAGTGCCCAGCATGGTGCTTGGCACGTGGCAGATACTCAACAGTTCTTGAATGAACATATGAAGAAATCCTTACAAAATCCTATTTCACACCTTGTCTTTTAACCCTTATTTTGCAGATGAGAAATCTGGGGCGCAGAGAACTACCTTCTCATGACAACTATTCAGTGGCAGAACTTGGATTTGAAACCAGGGTCCCCAGATTTCACACAAGGATGCCAATCGGAGACGATTACTATTGGATTCTAGAAAAAAATTCTAGCCACAGAAAGACTAGTTCTAGCCTTAATATAGACGTTGAGTAAATCACAGTCTTGAGTAAAAACCGTTTTTCC